CACCCAAACGTCGACAAAGAAGCGTCGAACGCATGGCTAAATCGAGGCGAACTCTTCCCAGAGACTGAAGGGTTCATGATAGCTATACAAGATCAGGTTATAGAGACTAGAAATTATAGGAAACATATTATAAAAAACCTATCGAACGATACATGTAGAAAATGCAATAGTTCCCCAGAAACCATTCAACATATTACCGGTGCCTGCAAATCAATAGCCCAGACCGACTACAAACATAGACATGACCAAGTAGCCAATATAATACACCAAAAACTAGCCCAGCGATATAAATTGATAGAATCTGCTGTACCATACTACAAATATAGTCCTGATATTGTTCTAGAAAATACCACATCTAAGCTTTATTTTGATCGAGCAATTTTAACCGACCGCACAATTCATTATAACAGACCTGACATCACACTTATAGACAAAATAAATAATACTGGATTTTAATTGATATAGCTGTGCCAAACACTCATAACTTACAGACCACTTTAGCAGAAAAACTGACCAAATATACAGAATTAAGAGATGAGATAACCAGACTATGGCGTTTGCAAAAAGTAACTATTGTCCCAATAGTTATATCAACCACGGGAGTAATCCCCAAACAACTTCACCAGTCCCTTAGTACTCTAAATCTACCATCTAACACCTACCACCTTTTGCAAAAGGCAGCTATTTTAAACACCTGCAGACTGGTAAGAAAGTTCCTTCAGTGCGAGTCGGACAATCCAACACAAGCCGCTCACAATCACAACCCAAATCCCGCTGATGGACACTTGGCTTAGGCCCGTGCCATCAGGATTCCCGGCTTGCCGGAGATACAAGAAAGTATATAAAAATAATAATAATAATAATTTATTTATTCTTAAGCACTCAATACAATATATCAACAATAGTTTGGCTACAATATTTTTACAGGTATATGATTTTAGCTTCTGTAGTCGAACTAGGCATTGCCTGTATTTCGACTATCAGTGCCCAACCCTCAAACGTACAGATAATTTCAGCCTTTCCAATGTCAGTTATACAATATTAATTTTTGTTTTAAGAAAAATAACAAGAATAAGATAAAAAGTAATAACATAATAATTAATACAAAAAATTACTACAAGATAAATAATAACAATAACAAAAGGGACTTTCTCAACGCAGATATTAACTATTTTGGCCATTATGTGTAAGTGTGTGTGTGTGTGTGTGTGTGTGTGTGAGGGTGTGTGTGTGTTTGTGGGTGTGTGCGCGCTTCTGTTTATCTCACATTAATTTGTTCAGTAGTTGTTCAGTTTCCTCGTAATTTAGTTTTTGTAGATATTTTTTTAGTTTTATTTTACATTCTACTTTGGTTAGTGGGTAGATGTTTAGGATTTTATTTAATTTGTTGTATAAGTATGGTCCAATGTGGTCAGCAAATCTTGAAATGAAATTATTTTTACTGTGTTGTGGAGTGCTGCATACCTTGTATCGTCGACGTTTAGTCAGCTGTTGTGAATTGTAGACCAGTTTACCGTGTTGTAGAAGAGTAGTATTCAGTATGAATAACTGCCGAACAGTAAGGACATCACAGATTTGATATAAAGAAGTCGTCGGGTGGTAAATTGGTTTTGCAATAGCAACCTTCAGCACAGCACGTTGAGCAACTTCAAGAGATTTCATTGTGGTTTTGTATGTTCCTCCCCAAGCTGTGATACAATAAGTTAATAAAACTGACTGACATAACGCGAGATATATTTGCTTTAACAATTTAGCTTCAGTAATGTGTCTCAGTCTTTTGAAGATATACATGAGTTTTCGTGTTCTAAGGCACACATGTTTGATGTGTTCTTTGAAGCTAAGCCTAGAGTCTATGACAATGCCAAGATATTTTATCGATTCAGTTCGTTCTAGTGATGGGCACTGACAAATATCCTCAGAGGAACACGCATGCAGTATGATATTATGGTTATTGGGGGTGCATAGTTTTGTCTAATACTGAAGCACATATATTTAGTTTTATCTATATTTAGGGTCAGTATGTTGTCTTGAAGCCATTCCTTCACGGAGTTTAGGCCACGCTGGGCAGCGCCAAAGACTCCCTCCCATGTATCGTCGGCAAAAACAAGAGCTGTGTCGTCGGCAAAGGAAATTATTTCTCCTTTGGCAAGCTTTAGTTTTGTGAGTTCGTCTAAATACATGAGGAACAATGTTGGACCCAGAACGCTACCTTGCGGCACTCCATGTGTGATTGGGAGGTATGTACTTCTATACGGACCCACTCGCACACATTGTGATCGCCCAGAAAGGTAACTTTTTAAAAGTTCGAGTTGCTTACCTCTTATTCCGAATTTTTCCAATTTGTCTAGTAAGATGGAAACAGAGATCGTATCAAATGCCTTGGCAAGGTCTAGATAAATTGCCAGGCACTTTTTCCCATTTGACATATTTGAGCTTGTAAAACTGATAAGCTTGTTTACTGCTTGCTCTGTGCTTTTCCCTTGACGAAAGCCGAATTGATTGGCTGATAATAGGTCTTTTGTCTCAAGGTATTGCACTAGCCTCATATTTATAATTTTTTCTAAAATTTTTGAGATTGCCGGTAGTATCGAAATAGGTCTGTAGTTATTAATACGACCTCTGTCTTCACTCTTAAATATAGGACAAATTTCAGATATTTTTAGAGAATCCGGGAATACTCCAGATTTAAAGCAGTCATTAAATATTTTAGTTAAGTGTGGTGACAGTAACTTTTTGTATTGTTTTAGAAGTCTGCAACTAATTTTATCGCCTCCTATGGCGCAGTCTGATCTTAGGCCCATTATAATATTATTCACTTCATTTTCATCTGTTTCAAGGAAAGCAAATGAATTTGTAAGGTGGATGTTATTTAGGCTGTTTGGTGTATTTTGTATGGAAGTCCTTGTGGTCAGATTTTTGTTATAGATTTTTTCAGCTAGCGAGTTTCCAACGTTTATAAAGTAACTGTTTACCTCACAAAGTGACTGTTCTGGTGTAGTAGCGAATGTAAGAAGCTCATTTGAATGTTGTTTTGATTTAGTTGTATTTGTAATTTCTTTAATAACTTTCCATAACTGTTTGTTGTTTTTCTGTGCAGTTTTCAGTTGTTGTTGCTCGTAACTGTCCCTTACCCTTTTAAGTATGTTGTTGCAGAAGTTCCTATAGCGTTTGTATGTTATTGCAAGTATTTTATTTTCCGGAGACGTGTTTACTTTTTTGTGGAGTTTGTCCCTGTTTTGCATACAGCGTAACAAGCCCGGAGTAATCCACGGTTTTATAATTTTTTTCCGCCGTGAAAGGGTGATTGTTTGAGAATTTTTCTCTATTATGTTCTGCAAATTAGTGATTAGATAATTGAGACAGAAATTCGGGTCTTCTGATTGATAAATTACACTACAATCAAGTGCCAAAACATCCTGCTCGATACCTTTGTAATTTGTTTTATTTGTCATAGTAGTAGCGTACTGTCGCGGTATTTTTGAGTTCATACATAATAATACTGGGTGGTGGTCCGTTAGCGTTGTTTGTGGCACAATAGTGGTGGCGTTATATTTTGTTTTTAGAAGAACATGATCTAAGCAAGTTCCACTACTACTTCTTGTAATTAAAGTATGCGCAGGCAGAAGGCCGTGCGATGCTGCTAGTGTAAGGTAACGTTCACCATTCGCATCAATAGAATTTGAGCTTATTGTTATATTTAAGTCACCTACAACTATGGCATTTGCATAAGATGTAATCTCTTGCAATGTATCATCTAGAAAAGCAAGAAAAGGATCTACATTTTATATGATGGTGATCTATACATTGCAAGTATGGCTAAGTGCCTGTCCATAGTAGCAACGAGGCAATTGCATTCGTTTGGGTTTGGTTCGTGTATTTTTATGTTTAGGTAGTCCTTGTAGTAGATAACTACTCCATCATTTTGTTTATGATGAGTTTTCGTTGCTGCGTGGTTATATCCAGGTAGTTTTGGTATATCGGCATTGTTAGTGAGCCAACATTCTGTCAAGACAATAATGTGGCAGTCTAGCTTTAATCTCGCTAGTAATGTTTCAAAACCTGTTAAATTGCGGTTTATGCTGCGTATGTTTTGGGTAATAATTAGCAGGTTTTCTGGTTTCGACTGTATATATTTATGGCAGTCTTCAAGGGCTGCAGTGAATGCGTGGGAAACAGCTATCTGGTCTATATCTTCTGTAAGTTTTAATATGTCACCAAAGAGTAGATATTTGGGTAGTGTTTTCCTGAATATTTTTCTTTTTTGAGATTTGTGTATTGTATAGCTATTAAAACAGTTTTTACGAAATATGTGTAATGTTTGTTTTGGTTGCGAGGAATACGTGTGGCAGTGTAGTCATGTTGTATTTGTAGGTAATACTGTGGTAGGGAATAGTTATAGTTTGAGTGTTCTTTTTGTAAGTGTGTGGTTTTGTACATAGTGTGAATAAAAATCTGATTTGCGGGAGGAATATAAATAAAGTTTAAGTACAGTAAAACTATATGTCGTGCTGTGTTGTGTTGTGTTATGTAGTCTTCATGGGATTTGTAAGTATGTGTTGTGAACACAACGTTGTTGGTATAGTATGTCATAGAGCTTGGCCAAAAAGCATGCACAACTAAAGCAATATAAAAGGCATCCAACAACATTTTCAAACTATATAAAGCAAACATAAATACATGCATCAGAGACGTCGTAAAGTTGAGATTAATGTTTAGAGTTACAGTGATCCTATTTAGTCACTTTGTAACGGTATTTCTTCTTAAATTTTCCAAATCATTATGGTTGTTTATTCGATGATGCGGAGAGCCTTCAGCCTTTTTAAGATAAACAATTCCATTAGCGGTCCAGCAAAAGTTATAGTCATGACTTTTTTGAAATTGTCTCGCCATATAGAATAATTTTTGATTTTTACTTGTAAGGGTTTCGCAAAAATACAATGGCTTTAACTGATAATTGGTGTTTATGTGCGTTGTGTTCAGCTTGTTACCTTTCTCTTTACCTCTGTTGAAGTTCTTCACCGCTTTGAGAATACTGTCTTTCATAAAGACTGTGGTAAAATTCACGGCAACTGGGTTTGAGGCATCCTTGGATTTTGTTCTATAAATATCTCTAATCGAATTGCCCTCAACGTTGACGTTTAAAGTTTTTCCCAGTTGTATGATGTCATTTTGTAGGGATTCCATTGTTTCACCGGTTTTTTTTGGTAAGTTACGTATTTCGATGCCCACACTTTGCGCTTTTCTTTCAAAAAATTCCAATTTTTCTTCCAAATTTTCAATTTTAGTGTCTTTTGCCTGATTTTCTTTTTCCTGAACCAAATACATGAATACATCTACAATCATTAAATATATCTACAGTTACTCACAAGAATCTTAACCCATGACTCATACTTAACCCAGAAGACCCATCTTTCAACCATTTCCTACAAAAACACTTTACTTAGGTACTTGATATTTCTCTTTATTTTTCTAAATTTGCTTCCATTAATATCAATAGAGATGTCTCGAGTCCGTCGCCCCGTCGGCGCCGGATCGTCGCGACTTCGCGTCTCCTGGCCTCCCTACAGAAACTGTAACAACTATGTAGATACAGGCTGTTTGAGAAATTCTTTTAAAAAACTGGCAAGGTATCTTTAACTTCTTTGATATTACTGGTGTCTATGTACGATGTTAATTGCTTAGCATTACACTGTCAAACACCGCGAGGACACCGGTAACCGCAACCTATTGTTCTTTAATTGTGTGTATAATGACGGTACTCAAATAGCAACGTGATCCGTAAAATTCATAAAAATACTTTTCAAATAAAAAAAACATTGATTTATAATGTGGAATGTATCTGACTAAAGGCGGTACAAGACACGAATATCGCGCATTAAATAGAAAATATAATATGTTAGTAGAACATGTATTTTTAACGTTATGTATGTGTTTATTACGGATGCAATAATTACTTAAATACTCAAATTTTTATCGACATCTACGCCTGTGTATAATATACACAGCATTAAGTATTATTTCTTCTTGTTTCTCGTTCTATAACAAAAAGTTTACTTGTGTGGTTTATCTGTTCTATTAAATATATAATATATTTTCCTTATAAAATAGCTACTTTATAAGGTTACTAGCTACTTCCGCACGGTTTTACACGCTCTGCTCAGCTCCTATTGGACGTAGCGTGATGTTTTATAGCCTATAGCCATCCTCAATAAATGCGGTATCCAACACAAAAATAATTATTTAAATCAGACTTGTAGTTACAGAGATTAGCGCGTTCAAACAAACAAACAAAAAAACAAACTCTTCCGCTTTATACAATAGCATAAGAGTATAAGATTAAAACATTTGAATTAACTGATAAAGACATTTTGATATTAAATAAAATCTAAGCATAGCTTTCTTTATTCGACATGTTATCAATATCAGCTTAAAATTACCATACACAGACAAACAAAACAAAACAATAAATTAGTTATCAACGAACACCACAATAAAACACAGCCTGTACCTCAATATTTATGTGTCTGTGTGTGAGTATCTTACTACGCAGTACAATAATGTTATAGGGGCGGTTTACCCTGGAGATATGATTCAGGGAATTTGTGATTTACGTATTATGAAGGGGATACACTAGTAGGGGATATAATGTGCATTATTTCGATCAAGTGATAGAATTCCGTGAGAGATTATAGAATTCCATTACTTAGATAATTGAGGGTGTGAAGTTCTGAAGATAGTGCCATAAAAAGATAGGGTATTGGTCTATGTCTTTTGCCTCTTTTATACGGCATAAACTTCAAATAGAATAAGATTTGAGGCATTTATTAAAAGAAAGGAAGAAAAATTTTATTTGCACTACCACAAAATACAAATAAAAAAAAATTAAAAAAAAAAACCATGTAAACGGCGCAAAAAGGCCAAAGCTAATCTTATTACAAAAAAAAAATACAATCAACTACAATTTTTCCCTGTGTCATGGGTACATTATAATTTTACATACACGTGACATCAGACACGGAAAAAAAATTTGAAGATCACACGAACAGTTGCAGCTTGTAGGAATCATACCCGCTGCCTTGCCGATGGTTGCCCAACCACCGTGTTAATCGAGCTGTCTTCTATATATACGCTATCAATAATATTACAGCCTTTAAAGCCTGAATTTCAGTACACAAAACAGTTTTTTTTTTAACGTTGCCCCACACTAGGATTTTCTCCTGTGTCGTGGGTGCGATTACAAACATACAAGTTCACATACACAATGACACCCAGACCCGAAACAACAATTTGTGAATTACACAAAGTGCGGGAATCGAACCTGCGACACGTTGCACGGCGGCCGGTTGCCCAGCCACCGCACCAACCGAGCAGTCGAACAAAAACAGAACAGAAACCAGTACTATAAATAAGGCCTAGTCATTTGTTCTACGTCATTACCTAGGTAGAACGTGTTCATGGAAAAAGCCTACCTAGAGTTAGTTACGTCAACAGCAAGTTTCAGATACACCCACATCCTGTAAACAACGAGCTTTGTCTACCAACCGATGTTCACTTCCGGTACGCTGTGGGGCCACGAAAGAGGCGGGGTTGTTGTAAACTAGTTCCATAAAATATATTTTTTTTATACTTTATAGGTCGACGTTTGACCACCATCTCGCCTGATAGTAAGCGATGATGTGGTCGACGATGGAGCACGCCTACCTATGAGCAACCTGTTCACTCGGGACTTGAAGCCACCCAAGTCATTTTGCGAGTTTTGTACATGTGCTTTCAATATAAACATTGTTTTTTTATCTATAAGTCTAAATTTTGTTTGATGGGAACTTGAAATTAACAGGACAAGGTTAATAACATAACATAACATCACGCCTTTTATCCTCAAAGGGGTAGGCAGAGGTGCACATTATACCACTGTACAATGTAACACCCACTTTTCACTATTTACGTTATGAGTCCCATGTAATAGGGGTTGAGCCTATTGCCATATACCGGGCACAATTCCAGATTCCGTGCTACTACTGAGAATATTTAAAAACCCAGTAATACTTTGTCCGACCCGGGAATCGAACCTGAGACACCTTGCCCGGCAATCGCACTTTCGACCAGTCGGCCAACGAGGCAGTCAAGACAAGGTTAATCTAGTTTGCATTAAACGTACGTTCTTAACTAAAAAAAAAATATCAGGCAAAAGATATTTTGTTTAAAAATGAACTTTAATTGACTTCAAAAAGAGATACATATTCGATAAAAGATATAAAACAACACGGGCTTGAAATTATTTCTATTCAAGATTATAGATTCGAAATTCAAAATCAGCAGGCAATTCAATTAACCGCCAATTAGTCACCAGCCAGTTTTGTGGCCCTAGCAACAACTGTGAGCGGTTTTAACGACTTAATATAACATTAAAACAATTCTCAAACTTAACGTTAAGACGTAAGGTTGAAAATTGAATGCAAAAGGAAGTTAGTGTAGATTTATGATTTCTGCAAATGTATTTTTTCAGCGTACCGTTTCTTTACGGAGAAAAATGTTATGTTTAATGAGCCATTTGTTATTTTGTTATATTATATTGTTATTAAAACTCTGTATGAATATTGTACAAGGCTTTGTTGTTATTGTTAATTAAAGTCATTTAAACACAATTTATTAAAACAGACTGGATCGTTGGCTGAGTGGTCGCTATTGCAACTGCCGGGCAAGGAGTGTCGGATTCGATTCCCGGGTGATCCAAAACTTTTCTGGGTTTTTAAAAAATATCCCAGTAATAGTACGGAGTCTGGAATTGTGCCCGATATATTATATCAATATGCTCACTCTATATTACATGGGACTCATAACATGAATAGTAAAAAGTGGGAATTACATTATACAGGGGCATTAAGTGCTGTAATGTGGATAAGAGGCGTGATGTTATGTGTAAAGCAGAATTAATTTTTGATACGCGTATTAATGATGGGAATTGAGCATTTATCACTATCCTTGCTCAATACGGGTTGGCGATTCTAACTTATAATTAGAAATTGTAAAGTCTAGGTTTTCTCACTGTTTTTTTTTCACTGTTTGTCAGTGGTGTATAAATAATTTTAGCAAATACACACGGAAAAGTCTCTGATACTTGCCGCTGGTAGGCTTGAAACCCGCACCCTCATGCATGAGAAGCGGGCCTCTTCCCCTCAGGCCACCACGACATTTTAGCCACTGATATAGTCTTTTTTAAAGGGGGGAAAATCATCGAATGACTGCTCCCGCCTGGGTAAGACGGGAGGGAGTATCAGACCCTTACTGACTAAAAACCACCCCGTTCCTTCTCCTGCACGTCGCCCGGTTACCCGTTAGTTTCTCCGCGACACTACTACACGATTTGTATTTCATCCAGTAATAATAAGGTTTTATTTCGAAAATCGGTAAGATAACTGAGTGTTAACTGACCAATGAAAAATAGATCATTGTTATTACTTTGTTAAAATTAACTAATGGGTAAGTAACTGAGGCTTTATCCGAGTAATGAAAAATGGGCCCTAAGTAACAAAAAAGTCTACAGTAAAACTACAGAACGTCTTTCAAAATACCAATCGTATCAGAAACCATCTTATTTTAAAAACAGCTTGCAGAATCGACGTCTCGCCGCCATGTTGATGTCGCCGAGCAGTCTGGCGCCAATTCTGCTATCATTTATAACTCTGTCTGCCATTCTGCCATCCCAACACTTGGCAAATAACATTTCTTTTCATGTCTCAACTTTTGTTTATTTTACTGCAAATACTCAAATAATGTTCAGCTGTTTCAATACATTGGTTCAAAACTCAGCCTTTTGAATTTCAAAGCTTGTGATTAAAAGTTTTCTCTGTTGTGACTGTAATTTTTTTTTAATTCTTTGGTTTGTTTCCACCCTAAATCATTACTTAACTAGGAGTTACTTAGCGTGAGTCTTATCTCTACTATTAGGTGTCACTTAAATGTTTTACCTATCTTAGCTTAGGGGTTCTTTAAAGTTTAATAGGGGTTGGTGAAAACTGGCATTATTGTTTTAACTTTGCCCAAATATTGCTACTATAAAACAAATACATTTTGCACCTACATTACCTGTGTCGGTATTTAGTCAGTTAAATTACACAAACAACCTTACTACTTGGTAATAAGGGTCAAAATTCAATGATTTTCATTGGCCCACTAATGCTTATGTGCAGTCCTTTATTTTGTGTTACATAGTAATTATTGCGATGGACATTCCATTCTCTCTAATTATGAACAGCTATTTGGATGGCAGATTGGCTCCCCACCAATATTATATAAAATGAAACATTTTTCTCCAATAATATTCACTTTTAAAATGTTCATTAGGGCATAAAGTCCCATTGAAATAGAGATACAGCGGCCTAAATATAAAACTTCTAAGAGCTAATTTTTCAATGCTCAG